TATGCAACACATCGTACACTTCAGCATAAGAAATTTCCGATACTAACTTTCATTTACGTAATACTACTTTACCCCCTGTGCTGACAGCACTCATAATTTCTTTTATATATAATATTTGGAATGCTTTTTTTGTATAATTCGTTTATTATGTACTTCAGGTGGCTACGTATACGAAACGGTGACAGTTTCTAAAGCGAAAAACTTCACGTTGGTGGGGCAACCTTCGAAAGAGTTCAGCTGGTTTCCGGGGTGAGTGTTTTGCTTATGCGCTAAATTAAATAAGTCCAGGATGTTTCACTGCAGTGCAGTTCCATTCTGGTAACGAATTTCATATCAAACGAAAGTTACTAGTAATGTATTTTATAAAATTTAACTGACAAAATTCTAAAGTTAAGTTTTTGATCTAAATATAATTATCCAAAAATTATGAAAAAACATTTATGTGGGGGTGTGTATAAACAATATGTTTTATTTGATGATGGCATTTATTATCTAGCTATACATGGACAATTATGCAATGTAAGTTATGTCAAGTCCATTTGGGGTGGATGTTTACCTCAAAACTACTTCAGCCCCCTTTTTTCTATGGTCTTGCTCGAAGTGGTTTCGACATTCAAATTGTAGCAAATGAGGAGTCTAGTGAATAGATCTCGTTCTCAGCTTCAATCTCGGTACCTACCTATTTGTGTAAATTTCTACTTATACCAACAAAACAAAAATGGATGCTAAAAATATAAGATCAACCAGCCAAATAATTTCTATAAAAAGGCAATTTTGTGTAGAAGTTTGTAATGTAGTAGCAGCTCAGTAAGGCTTATACCTACATTTAAACAAAAAAAAAAGAACGAACATCCTCCTTTTATATAAACACACTGATGTTAAATGATGAAAGACAATGATTTTTTTTTATAAATAACAAATGAATTAATTTGGGTTGTTTCAATTGTTTCTTCTTATTATACATTGCAGATCATATGATTCAATTTTTCTGTTGTTTATTAATTGTATCTAGTGTTTTTAATAAAAAATAAATATTTATGATTATATGAAAGTGTTTTATCCCACCAACAGTTTGATATCTTTATCAGACGTGTATAATAGTGATGTGAAGTTTTGTATGGTAGGTTGTAAAATTAAAAGTAAACTAGACAAGAAAAACGGACCTCCCATGATTAATTAAAATAATTAATGGTTTTTGTTGTTGTTGAATAATATTATTTAACTCCGCCATGCCCGTCCCAAGCCGGGGGCCTTGTAGTGCAAGGGACAAGGAAGGAGGAGGGATCGAGGAGTAACACCTCGTTAAAAAACCATGGGTCAGTTGGCTCCGGCTGATAGCACCTTGTTAGGGCCCCTTGTCCAGGGTTACGGATGAAATTTGCAGCAATGCATGTGGTTTTAGTGTGACTTTTAACAAGACTAAATAAATATATGGTGATTACTGATTAGCAAAATGTGACTAATTGATGGCAATACTGGAATTGATTAGGATAATAGAGTGGCACTGTATCAGCCGCAAACGTTTTCGAACTTGAATAAGTGAAAGTTTAGTTTAGAAAAAGGACATAATAAAAACGGTCAGGTTCTAATGGTCAATTAATAAGGAAAAAACAATTTGTATGATGAAGAGTAGAGTGAAAACGTTCTTCAGGGAGAGGGGGATAATGGATTGGTTATTTTGCAACCAAGGACTGAGAAGTGGTACCGTTAGAAAACCATTTTTCTGAAATGGACCTTGGTAAGCGTATCTGTTAATTTTGATATGAAACAGCGATAATTTAAAAATATAGTGTATATATATCTCTGATCATAAACGATGAGATTTGAAATCGTGATCCATACTTTACTAGAAACATTTTTAATGTAAAATAATTGAAACGTTTTGTTTCTTGCTTTGAAACTTATAATTCCTGAAGAAACCATCTGGTGGTCAAGGCAATAAAATGTTAAAGGAAATTATAAATAGTTACAGGTTTAATTTTTCTTAAAGTTATCTACCTACGTATTAAACTTGTGATAGATCCAAGTAGAAATCTTGGACTTTCACGTAGTTTTCTTTCGCATGTATATTTTGCTAAACATTACGAATACTACTTTTGCCAAATAGATGGCGACATAGTACCTTGTTTGTTTCACGTTATATATTGTTTCATGTTGTTATTGAAACTCTTGAATGAGAAGTTATACTGTGTAGTAGCAAATGTGGAAATTATAAATAGTTACTGTTTTAATTTTACTCTAAAATTATCTACTTATTTATTAAATTTGTGATTGCTTGTTGCAAGTAGAAATCCTGTACCTATAATTGACCACTGCGGCAAGTTTTCAGTATAGCTCAGTAGATGGCGACCTAGTACGTTTTTTGTTACATGTAGGGAATTTCTAGATGTTGATAAATTTCACGTAGTGTTCTTTAGTCGTAACTTTGTTAACCATTAACAATACTACTTTCGCCGAACAGATGGCCACATTTGTCTTCTTTGTTTGATGTAGCCATCGAATCTTTTGACGTTAATTCTTTACCAGCTTTTGCTCCTTTTTTCCAAATGTTAATCATAAACGTTGTTGTAATAATAAATGACTAATTAAAAAATGTAGCCCAGATCTCGCACGACAATCTCTCTTCTTCATGTCTGTAAGGTGACTTATAGTTTACAATTTATCCTTAATTTTAGGGTGAAAGCCCAACGTACCTCTACCTTTTACTCGGGTGGAAATTCACAACCTTGAGGAGGAAATGTCGCACTTTCTTCCCTATGCGCGCAATTAACTATTTTTCGCGCGTAATTTTAAATTATGTGTTTAAAAAGATACTTCGAAAAAAAAAATATATATAACTGGTAACTATTATTAATTAATTATTTGCATATATTTTTTATAAACCGGGTAGGTATTAAAAAATAGTTATCTCGGTTTTATTTTGTATCAATAGGACTTCAGTTGTAAACATGTGTATATTTCTACTTATACAATATGCTTTGGTGCAAATATTATTTCGTTAGTTTTATCAATAAAACTATCAACTGGAGAGTAATAATGACATTTTTTATGAAAAGATAACTCGGTCGTCCTGTCGTAAAACAGATATGTACAATCTCATTTGAGATAGCCGTGTGTGTTTGTGTGTGTGTAAATATAAACGTTATCTTTGTAGAATGAATCATGTACTTTGTTTTAAACTGGACATTATAAAAATGTGTGAAAAGTTTTAAATACGTATTAGAATGTTTAAGCCAAAAAAACTTTACATACTAGGTACTTAATTATCCTATGGTTTATTAAAATTACTTTTATGCATAGGACCTACGACAGAAAATATAATGTTATTATGTAATTGTTTTTTAAAAGTAGTCATTACATTCTCAAACAAAAAAAAGGATAATAGGGCATTCAAGAATTATTACGAGAGTAGTCATAAGGAATGAATGAAGCGGTTCAATTTTTTATTGTTTTTGGCAGAAGGAGCGAGGGAGGCCCTAAAGCTTCAGTAAGATAAAAAATTATAATATAAATAATTAGCGATTTTAAATCATTTAGTTATAAATTTTTATGGTTTGTCTATTCTTATACGTAGCAGGTAATAGTAGGTAATTAGTAGTAATAATCAACTAAATATACTAGTGCAGGATTTCTTAACTTTTATGTACTTGCGGATCTCTATCAAAATTGAAATTTCCGCGGGAAATTTACGGTAATCTGAAAAACATATTGAGCATATTGAAATGTTAGGACCGGATTCAAATAAATACATGTACATACTTACAATTAGTACACCCCTGTAAAGTGTCGTCTGTTATCGCCGAAATAACAAAAATTGAAATTGTGGCGGGCATTTTTGATTGTTTTAAAAATTCATTTCGTAGATTTTAATTCGGTGTTTAAATAAACATAATACAGCCCTGTAAAGCGTTGTTTGTTTTTGCAAAAACGGGTATTGTTGACTTACCGAAATTTATAATTTGAAAAGCGCTTTCCATTCACAAAACATTGCCCTCTTCGGTGGTACAGAATTAAAGTCGAAATTTTCGAAGGCATTTTTGGCTGATGTGGAAAATTATTTCAGTTTGAAGAAAGCGTTCCATTTGTCTCTACTTCGAGCAGTAGTTCAAAAGCTCTCCGTAATACGCTCACCGATTGCGCCACCAGTCTTTTGCTTTTTACAAGAAACACTGTCTTCATTATAATTTAGTAGATCGCGAAGAGAAAATGCTGTGCGGGCAGTTACATTGATACTAACCTGTTTTCCGTGGAAATTAATCATGTTTGTGTGTGAAAAGTTCATAAGTTTCTACCGTGAAATCAAAATTGGGACATGGTGATGATTTAAATGTGATATACTCATTCAATGTCATTCGGTGAGTTTTACTATTTTCATATTTATCGTTTTTTAGTTCAATGGATTTTTTTTTCGGACTTGAGAATGCATTGAGTGCGGAAAATATCACTTCTCTAAGTGGGTAACAAATTATTTTAATTCGGAATTTAAATTATCAGAAATAGCTTTATAAAGTATCTGTATTTTTCCAAAAAGCTCAAGGGATTTGTTATCCTTTTTCCTCCGAATACTTGCCCTCTTTGAAACATTCTTTGAACGTATGACCTGCGGTAACAGAATTATGTGCGCTTGTTTTAATTTTGCAATGAAACATTTGTTTTAAACATTAATAAGNAGGAAAAGTGAAAAATTAAATAAGTTAAGTAAACAATAAAAAAATAAGGTTTGAAAGTGCAGAAAAAGAAAGACAACTTCTAAACATATTGGAAAAGAAAGGAAACTTCTGAAAAATATAACAAATATATTAAATAAGTGTTACCATTTAAATTATTTCACTGATTTGATCCCTCGATGACCTGGTTCTCCTGATGTTCTCCATTGATCCTGATGTCCTAACATGTTGTTGGTTCTCATGCCCAACATCAAGAGGTCTTTCTAACTAAAAAACGAAAGAAAAATGCTCTGAATTAAATTACTGCTTAGTATAAAAATTAAGTTTTAATGTAAAAGAAAATGATTTATTATTGGTAAAAGTATCTAAGGAAAGTTTAAATGTAAATAAAAAGAAAATAAAGATTCAAATATAGGTACAATAAATTAATTGAAACAAAAGTTTCATGAAAAACCACTAAGAAATGAAAATTTGAATGAAATCAAAAGAAAGGAAAGTTTAGAATATTATATATAAAAGAAATTTTGAGTGCTGCAGAACAGGTCAAGTCTGACTCATGCTCTCTAACTATGATTGGGTAGCTAAACTAAAAGTTTTAAATTACAGGTTCCTGTAACCTAAAGATTCTGTTTCGCTCAAAAGTGAATTTCGACTACTCGAAGCAATGCGGCTAACATTTTCGAACTCACGCGAAGAACTTAAACAAAGAACAAATTAAAAAAACTGTTAAAATGTTAGAAAGTAAAAATTCTAACGAAAAGTTAATGCTAAGTGAAAAACTAAATAAGGTAGGTAAAGGATAAGAAAAAAAAAGCTTTGAAAGTGTAGAAAAAGAAAAGAACGGTATTTCTGAAAAATATAACAAGTAAGTGTTACCATTTACCTTCGATGCCTCTTGCTTTGTCTAGGTCGAAATTATTGGGATGGATTTTGCTGATTGATCCCCCGAAGTCCTGGTGGTCCTGACGTTCTCCATTGATCCTGATGTCCTAATATGTTGTTAGCTTTCATGCCTACCATTGAGAGGTCCTTCTAACTAAA